CTTAAAAAAATAATTTCCATGTCAAAAAAGTCAGTTTGTCGTAAAACTGTTGACATATAAGACTATGAAAAATACGCAAACTAGAAAGACTACAAATCCCAGAATCCCGGTCCCGACTTACTCCCCTTTGTGTGTATTTACGGCTCTCAACATGCCCAGACTTGTAGTGATTTTCACCTCTTTTAATACTTTTCACCTCATTCTGAAAGAAAGAAGTGAAATGTGCCAACGTGACGGCCGTCTTGGTGTGTGGTGCGAGACGGGAGATGTAGTTCTTTGAGCGGTTTCAAACAAAAAAGTGTTTCTTCACATTTTTACGACACATTTTGATTTTTTTTACTTGCAAAATTATCTTTTAAATGGACAAACATCATATGTGTAATTCGTGGCAGAATTCAAACGGGATCGAAAGATAATCTTTCTCTCTCCATTGACTTCAATGCATACTTTTTCCGAAATAAGTTCCCATGGAGGTCCCCCGGGAAGGGAGGGACTTCGCCTCTCTATTGGCTAGCGAGGGGAGGATGTTTTTCCCGCCCCTGCGAGGCGAAGAGCTTCCTCAATTCAGAGAACTGAAATTCCCAAAAGCCACATAAAATATTCACAAGCATAAGAAAGAAGCGAGAGACAGTACAGAACTGAAGCAGGATAAAATCAAATGTAGGGGAAGGAGGGCAGCCTGGAGATATGAGAGTGAAGGAGAGAGAGTAAAGGAAGGAAATCCCAATGAGGGAGTGAGATGATGAGAGAGAGAGAGACAAGTGTAGGAGGAGAGAAGGAAGCAGAGAGAGGGGATGACGAATCGGGAGAGAGAATGTGTTTAATTATTCAGCATTACCCATGTTCTCTATTTATGGCCCTTTTAGAGCAGCCAGTAGAAGCTATATATACGTATACTGTAGGCAAAGGCTGATGCCTTAAGTACAGCACGCCAGGGAAGTTTCAGCACAAAAAAACAAGAGAAAAGAGAAGAAAAACGTAATTACATATTGATAACAAGAAGAGCGAGGGGTGATGAAGTCATGGGGATGATTAAACAGAGGAGAAAAAACAAGCCATGGAGATGTAAGATGAGAAAGGAGAAGTCGAGCTAAAATTATCTTTTCCCTGCAGCTACTCATCTATCACTGTTCTTTTGAAATTGCAACAAATAAAAACAACCTGGGACAACTTTTCAAGACATTTTTTTAATTGAGACGAGATGTTGGATGTACGTGAGGGAAAAGACGAGGGATGGAGAGAGAGGACGGAGCAGATCTGTATCATTTAACTAGATGGGGTAATGGAATTGTTGATAAACCTGTTATCGCTTATTCCCAGACACACAGAACTGCAGCACATACTGGCCCTTTAACAACAACATAAAACACAGTACAACTGGCCATTACTATCCCCAACACACAAAAGGACGCATGCATGGGTACACTTAAAACTACATATCTCTGGCCTCATTACCCACAGTACACTGAGTAAAAGCTACTGCAGCAGAATGCAGAGGACTGGTCTTAGAGTCATGTTTTTGTTGCAGGGAAAATATCAAAGTATCTGATTTGAGGATGTTAATCTAAAAGATGTCAGCTGGAGGTTCTTAGCTTTTACCTGATGCATTTTTCACTTTTACTTATTCTACTAAAATCATACAAAAACAAAAACGTATAATTCATACACACAAATGAACAAAATTAGTAGAAGCGGGAGGGCTGAAGCATAGCTTATGGGAGTAGCCCTCCCGTGCATCATCATTAGCATCAATATAATAATAATGGCATTTATTTCATCAAAAACGTATAGAAATTAAGGAGTATAAAGAAACAAAGGAAAACCAATGAAAACTGAAAAAATTTAAAAAAAAAATTTAAAGAAATTAAGGCAAGAAAAAAGCGAATGTATATATAAGCAACACTGGGAATATCCAATACCTGTTAGCTGGAGTAATCTGCAAATATAATTGTTTTTACTTTAGTTTTGAATTGTTGATGACTTGTAGTACTTGATGGGTCTGGGTGAAGTCCATTCCACGTTCTAACACTTCATCCAACAGACTTATTACATTTTTAATAAGCCCGAGTGAAACCTAAATGTGTCCAGCCAAATAAATGAATAATTTAGTTTCAGTGAATTAAAAAACAGTAACGTAACGTAAGAAGTTGGGACTTTAACTAATAACATTGATTTTTTTTTAAAAGGAGAAGCTTGGAACAAATAAGTAGAAGCTTGAATAGAGGACTTTTAGAATAGAATAGAATTGGGAGGGATGAAACCCTCTTTAATGGTCACACATGCAGAGCACACAGCACACACAGTGAAATGTGTTCTCTGCTTTTAACCCATCCTAGTACCAGGAGTCTAGTACTAGGAGCAGTGGGCAGCCATGGGAGTGAGGGGGGAAGGGAGATGTCCGGTGCCTTGCTCAAGGACACCACGGCAGGGCAGGAGGTGAACTGGGACCTCTCCAAGTATCAGTCCACACTCCATATTTAGGTCTGGTCGGGGACTTGAACCGGCGACCCTGCGGCTCACAGTCCAAGCCCCTACTGACTGAGCCACTGCCGGACTTTTGTATATTCATAATTTGTCTAAACTGCTGCAGCAGACACTGGTGTTCAATAAATGACCGTGGCAAAACGTGTCTACATGCAGTGTTTGATCACAGACACATAAGAACAATCTGGCTCCTGGCCACAAAGCAAATTGACTTTCTTTTTGGAATCAGACTAAGAATTAATATCATGTTTACAGCCCGCCTGACTCCTGAATCTAAACTCCACCTGTGTTCACTCTGCAGCACACATTGATCCAGATAGGGATACTAACAGTCAGTAGCTATATATAGTATTGATGGTAATCCCACATGTCCTTTTTCTGATATAACAAGTGTCTAAAAATGGTTCACAGAGAGACGGAGCAATTCCGTTTCACTAATACTCACCGGGCTAAAGGTGAATTTATCATCTCAGTGACTCAGAGATTCACCTGCTCACAAGAAGATGATCCTCTTCAGGCGGCTGCCTCGGCCGTATGAGGAATTTAAAATAGATGGCATTTTGACTCAAGTGACTGGCTCTTATCTGAACGGATGAATCCAATATTTTCCGGATTTACTTCTGTATTTCCTTCCAAAGCATTGAAGGGCTAACATTCGAGAGTAAGCATTACAAAGCATGTTTTCTGCCTCTTAGTATTTAGGCAAGTTAACAACTTATATTTCTATTAGAGCTACTATTTAAATATTGATTAATTCGATGATTAATGTCCTCAAATAAATATTTGATCTAAAAAATTTCAGAACGTAGTTTAAAACTGAATATTTTTTCTTGTGTGCTTGTTTGTTTGAACAACATAAAAAACAAACCTTCTGTGTCTGGTTTCCCCATAAGACCAAAAGTCTGTATGTGATCATGTGATTAGACAAAACGATGGTATGTGAGCGCTCAATAACTACAAACTAGCGTGCTCTCCAGCCTGTCATTACAGAGTGCCCTGGGGCCCATCTCAACCACCCTACCACTGGAGTTTATTTCCTTTTCCCCTTATGAAAACAGTTGAGGTTAGTTACATTATTTGTCAACAAATTCAGCTCTACTGTTTGACTGTGAAATGTACAACCATGACATTTAGAATACGTGCAACAAATCTATCAATAGGTAATAATATTTAGCACCTCAGGACAACTTTAAATATAAATAATCTGGCACGAACAATGTGCAAATAATGATAAATGATCTCCAATTTTATTTATACATTGAAAACTTTATAGTTGTACACAAAAAATCAAAAAATCAAAATTTGAATATCTTGTCAAATGGATCTGTCAATCTACAGCTGTAACAAAATCAACTTCAGTCCAGACTGTTGAGAATTTCCCACAGAGTGACAACCAATCACAAGCCAGCGTGCAGCAGCTGGACGGACCACAGACCCGACTAGCCACTGCTGTTGCCACGGTAATGTATAGGAACAGACCGGCTGAATGTCAGCCAGCAAATGAGCCGTGACTTTCACCAAGACAGCCGAGTCAGCAATACATGGATACACATAACTCTCCTGTTCGCCATTCCTTTTGTGATTTTTCACCAGCGACACCCACCCACCCACCCACCCACACACACACACACCCACACACACATACACACACAAGTATGTCAGATTACTTCTACAAGCCTGGAGAAGCATGTCCCACCTCGGCCTGACCTTTCATTCTGTCCAATCAGCTGTAAGACCAGCTCCTCTCCATCACCACCTGACCTCGACTTTCTGCTCCATTAGACACAATTTCACACACATAAAATACCTGCCCTCACAAGGAACTTCACATGTCCATACCTACACACATTTAAACAAACACATGTTTATTCCAGATTAAACAAACATGTGCAGGCTGATGCAACATCCTGCAGAGTGGCAGGATGGAGGGGAAGTATGAGGAAAAGGAAGTGAGGACCAGAGAACGTCGGGCCATCATGGAGGGGAGAGGAAGTTCAGTCACTGACATGGACTGAGAGATAGTGTTTAAACGACATCGGGGAAACAGCTGACTCCAGATGACAGCTAAAACCCTAAACCACAGTAATGTCACAACATCAGACACTGAGCACAAGCACTTCCTGTGTATCAGAAACACTTGCCCTTGAAATACCTCATCTAGAAGGGAAGAATTATAAACCCCATGCTCACTTACAGAAAGTAATACAAATAAAGCAGGGGAAAAGAGAAGAAGTGGAGAAAAAGGAGCAGGGGAAATTCTCTTAAAAGCACTTTAATGTGCCCCAGTTTCTGCTTCTCCCCCCTGCATTTTAGTCTCTTACATTCGCTCCATTTCTCTCAAGCTTGTGCTCTGCTTTTATCTCCTGTCTCTTCTGTTTCCTTCAGTTACAGTTCACATGTCTACCCTTTATTCAATTTTGGCATCTTGGAAAGAATGAACAGAAGCTGATAAGAAGGGGAAAGCGTGCTATCAAAAAGACAGACTAATGTCAAGGCTGTTTATGTGTGTATCTTACCTTGTACACCTGCCCATAGGTGCCATTTCCCACCAGCTCAACCAGCTCAAAGATGCCAGCAGGATCCTAAAACGACAAAGGGAAACAGTGGGATTATTAGGATGGAAAGGATTTACACATACAAATATTAATTCGCGATTAAAACAGTCAACAAAAAAAGGTTTCCAAATATTTGAGAGCAAGTACAGTGTATGTTGAATCACATTAAAGCAGTGTTCATATGGATGGCAAATGATGATATGTCTATTTTCTTAGAAAAACAAGTGGGTAGGCCTATTGATGTAAAAAATCAGTCTATGGATCAGCCCAACAATTTAGTTCAGAATGAAGCGATTTAATGAATTGCTAAGATTTTTTACAGAAATTCAAGACAACAAATCCTATTGACTTTTGAATTTTCCACCTAGTGTCATCAGATAGAAATCAGCCTTAGCTGTAAGCTTCTTTGTGCTAATGCGCTAATGCTAGAATGCTAACAGGCTACAATACGATAACGAATGTTGTTTACGTTACCTGCTAAACATCAGACATTTTATTTATTGGGATACACCCCTTGAGATGCACCATCTCGTTTTCAAGGGGGTCCCGACAATAGCAACAACTTACAGACATACAAAACATGACACACAAGACAAACCACGTACAGTCTGTTAAGTAAAATTCAAGTAATACATACAATCATTCATGTTAGCATTGCCATTATGAGCATGTTAACATGTTAGCATTTAGCTCAAAGCGCCGCGTTGAAAAAGTACACTGACCCATCAGCATGGCTTTAGCTTCTTTGTCCTATTTGTCATAGAGCAACATTGGAGAAGTGTATTTCTAACAAAGATGTGCGCTTGATCTCTAACCGGAGCAGTGCTTATGTTTTGCTCCATCAACTGAAGTCTCTGGGTGTTTATAAATTGGTCTGAAATGCAGTTCTGGATTGTTTTAGGTTTGTGTCCAGACTACCTAATAATTTAAGCCCACAGTCGCTAGGTTGCCAACAAAGTACTCGACGCATCTTTGACAAGGAGCAACTTGAACAGAGTACGAAACCCACTGACCCCCGCTCTCACACACACACACACCTCCCCCTTCCTCTCTGCCGCGTGTTGCTACGGCATTCCAACAATAGCTGGTATTCACCCTCTCCTTCCTTCTCTCTCTCTTTCACACTCTCTCCGTTCCACCAGCTTCTGTTCTCCAACCAGCCGAAGTCCATCTATGTCTCTCTCACTCTTTTATCTAAACATCCTTTCTTTCTCTCCTCCATTCCTGACAGTGTCCAGGACAAGTCTTTCTTTCAACGCTCCTCTCTTTCCAACTGAGTCCCAGGAACACTGAGGCCCTTTTCCCAGCTTCTGTAAAGTCTCTTTTCATCCTGTTCATCCTGGTATTTAAAAGTGTTGTAAATGTTTCATTTAATAAGGGCTGCTGCTCCCACTACAGCTTCACTCTCACATGCAAGGATCAGAATGCAAACAGTTGTCCATCTATTTTCGTACAGTAATGCAGTTTGTCTTTTCCACATTTCAATACAAACAATTTAATAACGATATTTAACAATATTATTCATTTTGTTCCATTCTTAACCGTCTTCAACTTTGTACTTCTACCAAAGGTGCCTGTGGAGATGTTAGATCTAATGGTAGACCCATATTTACGCAAGAAATTGCAAAATGTCAACACAGGGCCGTCACTCCCTACAGACCGATCATGCAGGCTGCACGGGGCCTCACATTGCGCAGGGGGCATCGCGCAGGGGGCCTCGCGCAGGGGGCTTATGAGCTCGGCTGTTGCGCAATTCTCAGCGCATTTTTTCCCCTTTTATTAATTTTTATGTCAATTTGCACATTTCATGGTGATGCTCAGCCTCTCCCCTTAACTCCTAACAGTCATCATCATGTCAACCACAACACAGAGAAATACTGAGAGAAATGGAGAGACAGCAAGCGCATTTTGTGGCATCTGCAGGCAGTGGCAAGTACTTCCGGCAACTGCCACAGAGGCCGCTACTCTGTGGTATCTGTGGCAAGTACTTCCGGCATATGCCACAGATGCCACAACTTACCGAGGCATCTGTCGCTGCTCAACGGGAGTTGCCACAAGATGCCAGAGTAAGAGAAGGTTTACTGTAGCTGCCATTCGCCTTCCGTGGCAAATGCTGCTATTTAAACCCGTATTTATTGTGTAAAATGTCGCTGTTTAGGCATGACTTTATCGAACTGATCTGTACACAGGACTGATGATCTGTACACAGGGTTGGGTTGTAACGGAATACATGTAACGGTGTTACGTAATCAAGTAGCCTAACTGTATTCAGCTCGTGTTACATTTGAAAAACAACTAATCTGATTAGTTACTTTTGTAAACCTGAAGTGAATAGAAATGATAATGTATAATCTTTTTGAAAAATAGATACCGCACATCAGTCCTGTGTACAGATCAGTTCAATAAAGTCATGCCTAAACAGCGACATTTTACACGATAAATACGGGTTTAAATAGCAGCATTTGCCACGGAAGGCGAGTGGCAGCTACAGTAAACCTTCTGTTACTCTGGCATCTTGTGGCAACTCCCGTTGAGCAGCGGCAGATGCCTCGGCAAGTTGTGGCATCTGTGGCATATGCCGGAAGTACTTCCCACTGCCTGCAGATGCCACGAAATGAGCCAGGCCCTACTGGAGAAATGTATGTGTAGTTGTTGATGCATTGCTGAGAGAGGGAACTACATTTGAATACAGATTTAAGAAATATCAGTTTTTGAGCATGTAATAAGCATGTTTTGTCTTGACCATATTACAACTATATTATAATAAAATAATATAGTATTTATAGTATTATTATTAGTAGAAGTAGTTTATTTGCATTAATTATATTTTAATCTTTTTGAGGCTAGTATTTGGCAAATGCAGACGTATTCACCTGTAAACGCATACTGAACGACATACATGCACATTTACCTCACTGTATAAAAAAGTAACTGTGGTGATAATAATAATAATAATAATAAACAGGAATTATATTTGCAAAGTAAAAAATGTACTCCTATCGGTGGGGGGGGAGAGAGGGGGGCCTCATCTCACAATGTCGCTTGGGGCCCCAAGTTGGCCAGGGACGGCCCTGACAGTCCTAGGCTGTAAATGAACTAATCAATAGTGATGGTATGGTAGTTTTGCAGGGCTCTAACTATATTATTGCTTTGGGTGCAACCAATTCTCCTCAGTCATCTAATAATATACCAGTATCCAAGATCAATTCTGTCATTCATCATTCTTTATTTCCTTTTTCTCTTTTGAAAATTAATTTCCAACATCATCTATGGACAAGCGGAAGAATAGGTGTGAAAATGTGATCTTCTACTGGCAAAGCTGGAGGCTTATTTTGTTGCTGATTCACGGAAATAGAGTGCTGTATTGTGAAGATCCTCGCCGGGACTCATGCAAAGCTTGCGGAAGGCGATATTACACAATACCATCTTCTCACAGACAATTCCCCTTTCAATAAAGCGTCACTTTATTTCCGTTCTGAAAAGCCACATGCACTCTATTTCCATCCTTGTCCCTCGCCTCTGCGACTTGTCACTTCTGTCTCTCTCCTGCGTTTGTCTTCCTTTTTTGACTTTGTTGCTTTCTTCTTCTTCTCTTACTGTAATTCTCTTTCATGCCATGTCTGTGAATTTAGAGTCAAACTTTCAGCTAACTTTTCTGGCTTAAAACGCAGATCTGAGTGTGCTGCATGTAGTATAAAGAGAAGACTAACTGGATTATAGCTGAATGAGAAAAAGGAAATAGGATTTTGGGGCGCTACAGAATAGTATTGTGTACATGCTCAACTTGTCTGTAGGTTGTTTATAGATTTTGTGTAGGTTTTCTCTCCTTCCTCTGTTCTTTTCTCAGTTTTCTCCACCTTCTCTTTGTCTCCCTCGCTCCGTCTCCATTTGTTTGTTTCTGCGAGTCTCAGCAGACCTGTCAACCTGTCAGCGTTTTCAGAAGACAGGGCCTTTTTCTTGCTCTCCTCTTCCTTTTCCTGTGTTTTCTTTCACCCTTATTTCTCTGTTTTGTGCAGCAGACACTCACAAATGCACTTGCCCCTCACATACAAACACACACAAACTCTCACACTCTGTCTCAAGTACATCCTCTCGCTGTCTCGCTCTCTCGCACTCTCATAATCACACTCACACATTCGCAGTGTGCCAAAAGCGCACTCCTACACAAGGGCTAGTGTTCAAATGTTCTAAAGAGTGTGAGTGGGCTCCAAGAGAGTGTGTCTATGAAACTGTGTGTGTGTGAGAAAAAGAGAGTTGAAAGAGACGGCAAGCCTCTTTCAACAGTGCAGACAGCAGCTTTCTGCAAACTCTGCAACTGTTTTCCTTGCCATCAGGCCTGCAGCTTATGCAGGTAGATTTTTCCTCCCTTCACTTTTTCTCTCTTAAAAGTGTGTGAGAGTGTGTGACAGCTGTGTGAATTAACTTTCAGAGCTGCATGCAAAACTCTGACAGCAACTCCCCAGACACATTGAAGGATGCACTATCTTCCTCTTTCTGTTTATACACAACAGAAACATACACAATCCATAGCTTATGTGCATATAAGCACCCCATTCACCGGATGACACATGCATGTGGTTCCTCATCTCCATGCACTAAAGAGCGCAGCGGCTAGAGAAACAGAGCATTGTTGCTGCTCCAGTTCAGACATGCCCTTAGGCTGGCTGATAAAAAATATATAGCACGATATCATTCATATTTTATAGCCCACTTGCATGATAAGCTCTCAGCATTCACAAGGCTTTGTCAGTGTGTGTGTGCGTGTGTCTGCGTGTGCGTGCGTGTGTGCGTGTGTGTGTGTGTGTGTGTGTACGCATGCTGTGCACATCTGTTGGTCAATGCGTTAGAGATCCTTATGACAGAGCATTTTTCCCCCTTCCCCTTTTTTTATGTTGTGGTCCTTCTTGAACGTTTGCCAGCGTCACATGACTGCCACATGACCTCACTGGTGGCTGATGAATCACAGTGTGTGTGTGTGTGTGTGTGTGTGTGTGTGTGTGTGTGTGTGTGTGTGTGTGTGTGTGTGT